CGTCCTCCTTAGAACAGCAATGGCACCCGCCTCCCAAGAACAGCTGCGCAATCCATATCTCGGAACGGCCACGGGGCGCACTTTCCGGAACAGTAGTTGGATTGGAAAGGCGATTTCGCCGCTGTTCTGAGGTGGGCACTCGTTGGAGGATCCGGATGAAGGAAACGAGAGGTCTTTCGCCATTAGGTACTCAAGTAGCAGCTGTTTTACCAGTTTTTTTCATGAAATCCGGTCGTTTTTTCGGAAAATGGTCGCTTTGTGAAAAAATGACAAATGCAAATTTTTTGGAAAAATGCAAGTTCCCGGTTCACTAAGAAGTGGAAGTTTTGCTCGAGCGGTCGTTTGTCAAAAAATCCATATATGCAAATTAACTAAAGTTCATTTAAATATCCGATTGCGGTTCAGGTCCGAGTTGCTAACGATTTTTGGGTTGAGAAGTTGCTTAAGGCTATGGTTGGGGTGCTCGACTGCTGAGGTTAAAATCTTTAGTTCGCACGTGCATGGAGAATATCCCTGCAAAGTTTCAGCTTTCTACCTTGCCTGGTTCGCGAAATCTTTTCCCGCCAACATATTTTTTCGGGGGGGAGGGGCCCGTACGCGGGCTCTAGGTGCATGTGGGAAAAGATCTTAAAACGGGAGGATGACACACGGGGTAGGGGCATATACGCGAAGTTTCAGTCTCCCAGCTTTCCTAGTTACTGAGATGAAAGCGGGTAACAAAATGCACTCGTTTCCGAACACACACACACACACAGCCTTTCGACAATATCCGTTTTTGCTGGATGTTTTTGCTGTGAAGCGCTATAGCGCTGCACAGCAAAAACGCGCAAAAACTAAATTAAAGCACGCATGGACACAGGAATAAAAGCAAAATCAAGAAAAAAAGTGTGAACTAAAGCAAAATAATTGGCCAACGCACGGGCTGCCCGTGCGAAGATGCGTTTTTTGCATAGCTTTTGCACAGTTTTTTGCAAGATGCGTTTTTTGCACTTTTGTCGATAATGGTACCGGTTTTTCCGGCAAATGCTTCCAGCCAAACAAATTAAGACTAGCCACCAGAATTGTCAGAAAACATTTCCTTAAAATTTTAGCTTTCTAACCTCCCTAACTGCCGAGTTAGCAACTTACCCGAAAAAAAATTTTACGGGCTCGTACGTGGGTACCACGCATACCTGGTGTCTGGGTTTGAGCTCATTGAGACTTACGTGGACGGGGAATATCCTCTTAAAATTCCAGCCTTCTGACTTCTCAGGTTCCCGAGTTAACAACTTACCCGAATAAATTTTGGTGGGCTCACACGAGGGTAACGTGTACACCCGGGAGCTGGGCTTGAGTTCTTTAATACCTTAGACGCGGAACATCTTAAAATTCCAGTCTTCTAACTTCTCAGGTTTCTGAGTTAGAAAGTAACCCGGGAAGAACTTTGGCAGGCCCATACGTAGGTACCACACACACTCGAGGGTTGAGTTTGAATTCATTAATACCTACTTGGACGGGGGACATCCCCTTAAAATTCCAGTTTTCTAGCTTCTCAGGTTCACGAGTTAGCAACTTGCCCGAGAAAATTTTGGCGAGCTCTTACGTAGTTACCACGCGGGTAAGAGCACCCATTTAGGAGCTGAAGACCCTACATGCATGTGGATTAAATCCCCTAAGCTTCAGGCCTGTAGCTTTTCTGGGTCTCGAGATGAAAAATCGGTACAGACGCGTAGCGTACACAGATACACACATAAACACACACAGACAACCTCTTGTCAATATGCGCTTTCTGCGTTGCATAGCTGCAAAAAACGCATAAAAACTAGCACTCATGCAAGTGCTTCGTGCTGCCGTCACAGTAAAATCATTGGTGACACGCACCAGTCGAGCTCGTATTTTTGCAGTATTTCGTGCTGTAGTGAGGTCGCTCGGTAATCCAGTAGCTAGAAATTGTGAATCACTGGTCCACGATTTTCGGGAAATTAATTGCGCAATCACGGGGTACTTTCCATTTTATATATGTTCCTACGCTCTTATACCCCACGTACGGCACCTCCAAAGAAATATGTTGGCGGGGAACGATTTCGCGAACCAGACAACGTAGAAAGATGAAACTTTGCAGGGACATTCTCTATGCACGTGCGAGATAAAAATTTTAAACTCATTTCTCTAGCTCCCCAACCACAGTCTCAAGCGGCTCCTCAATCCAAAAATCGTTAGCAACTCGGACCTAAACCGTAATCGTACATGTAAATGAACGTGGGTTTTTTGACAAACGACCGCTCGAGCAATACTTGCAGTTTTTAGTGAACTGGAAATGTCCATTTTTTCAAAAAATTTACATTTATCATTTTTTTTTCACGAAACGAGCATTTACCGAAAAGCGACCGGACTTCATGCAAAAAACCGGTAATCATTCACCTGGGTGTCCGTGCGGCTCTGTAATGCACCACCTTCATCCCAACTGATGCCCTTCCTCCTGCATGCCGGAAGGTACCAAAGCACGGCCAATATGAGCCCAAGTGTTAGGCTTCAGCGTAGGGGTCATTCTTGCTAATGCGAGTTTAGTGCAAAAACGCATGATCGCTCCGGAGAGCCTGGTGCGTTCCAGCCTGGGTTTGCATTTGAATACATGCAAAAACGCAAGAAAATGAATGACCATTGGCGACGCGCACTGGGCGGGCCTGTGCGATCATGCGTTTTTGCAATGTTTCGTGCTGCAACAAGATCACTCGAAATTCCGGTAGCTAGAAACCTCTGACATACTGGTCCTCGAATTTCGGGAAGTTAATTGTTTACGCTATACTTGGACACGGGACATTCCCTTGAAATCCCAGGTTCCCAGCTTTCCCAGTCCCCGAGTTACCTAAATGACAGCCAGAAAATTTCACGGGGCCGTACGTGGCAACCACGCATGACTGGAGGCTGGATTTGATAAATTTAAGTTGCAGATGAGTTGGGAACATTTGCTGAAAGTTTCAGTCTCCCAGCTTCCCTGGTCCCGGGGTTAGCCATTTTCCTGCTAAAAATTTTTACGGGCCGTACGTGGCAACCATGTGTAACTGGAGGCTGAATTTGATAGGTTTAAGTTGTAGATAACTTGGGAACATTCGCTGAAAGCTTCAGCCCCCCAACTTTCTTAGCTCCCGAGTTAGCGATTTTCGCACCAGGGACCTTCACGGGGCGGTACGCGGGGAACACGCACACCTGGGGGCTGAATTTAAAATCTTTGAGTTCTATGTGGACAAGGAACATAATCCCAAAATTTCAGCTTTCTAGCTTTTCTGGTTCCCAATTTAGCAATTTTCCCGCCAAAACTTTGAGGCGCTCGTACGCGGAGCCTAGACGTGCGTGAGGATTGGCACCGCGGTCCTGGGGCGGCAATTGATCGAGGAATCCACTCGCAAAATTTTGGCGCAGGAGCTTCCTTGGGTGCCGAGTTGAAATACTCGGACAGACGCGCACACACGCACGCACGCACACACACACACACACACACACACACACACACACACACACACA